TGGCTATCTAGGGCTTTGATAAAGGTCGTGAGAAAGGTCAATGAATGATTAAATGATTAAATAAAATAAAAGTTAATGTTAGTAGTTGTTACGGATTAAGTCCATTCCGTAACTCATGAATGGGGTACCATTGCATCCAGAATTTCACGAGGGATTAGCGAATCATTTTCTCCGCTTTTGTTTTTCTTTCCAAAATAAATAAAGTAGATACGAACATTTTGCTAGGCTTCAATACTGGAACGGTGGAAAGTCTGTAGATCGATACGGGATAATTTGGACTTTGAAGATTTTGATGTGTACAGCAAGACCCAGAGAGTTCCCTCGGAACTAGCGGATCCTGCGTTTTTAAGCCCCAAAACGTACTATTTTCGAGATAACGCAAGGCAAAGGGTTCGAATCCACACAACCTTATGTTAATTGTAGTACTGTCGTCATCGTTAATTCTTCACCAAATCCCAAGATTGAGCCACCAATTTCGAAGGCTTTCTTCTCCTTCAGGCGGGAAAAATAGTCCAATCACCCCGAAAATTCAGGCAAACAAGTTATGAAAGAAAATAAACTTTATTTGCGAATAACTAAAAAATTACACACTTTTCCCTTGGTTATGTCCATGGTTATATAAAAGATTACTAAATTCCCTAGAAAAATCATCGAAATCTATTAGAAATTTTACCAATAGTTTTTTTTTTCATTTTATTATTTATTTTTTCGATTAATATTCATTAGAAGAGCTTTATTATAGCTCATTTCATTTTAAAATAACTATATATTTGGTATATAGCTATAGTATGAGTACGATGTTGAAAACATTTTTAATGACCGAAGGAGGAAAGTGGGTTCGAATATTTTTTTAAAGGAAAAACAGAGTTGAGGGTTGTATTTCGCACCTCAATGTTTATATCGATTATATTTATTACTTTTCCCTAGCGTATGCCCATTATTATATAAAATATTACTAAATTTCCTACAAAAGGAAAAAAGAATCGTGGAAATCGTACAACTTTTAGCAAAGATACAGCGTATTGAAATTTGTAAACATGTTGGTTCCAAACAGTAATGATGTTTTAAATTTTCGTTTCCTTTGTCGATTATATTTATCGATGAAGTAACAATTGATTTCTTTATCTTATGATATATTGGATAATTTTCTTTTCTTATTAATTTGGCATTTGATCACTTAACAATATGCTGTGCGAATTTTTCGCACGGGTCTACTGGTTAAGAATATAATAATAACAAATAATTGTATAGTTATATTGAATCATACTGTACTGACACTATTAAAGGTGTTAACTTAATAAAATGTTCACCGTTTATTAATAAATAAATAAATGAATGTATTGAATGAATGAGCTATGAATGCTACTCACCAACAGAACATTCCATGTACAGCTCCACCATCGAATGCTTGTCACTAGCGGATCCAGAATTTATTTTTGGGGGGGCTTAAGCCCGAAAGTTGTTTTTTTCATAAAAATAACGATAATTACTTTGGAAAAAAAGAAAGAAACTAACTACCTATATGAAATGGTGTTTAAGTGATTCCTAAAGCCCTTTTAAATGTAATTACACGAACAATAATACTTTGAGAGATACTTTTTTAATATTTTTTTCGATAAAACATGGTTATATTTTACCATTTTGGGGGGGGAGGGGCTTCAGCCCGAAAGCCCTTCCCCCCCTAGATCCGCCCGTGATGCTTGTTGACGAATGATTTTTGGCATCGAATATTAGTTGGCATTGTAGCATTATTTATATATAGCACCGCTTACATTATGTAATAATGTAATAGGGCAGTTATAACTTTTTTTTTAAAATTTATTTATTCAGTAATATAATATTATAGAGATGTCGTCAAACTCTGTCTATTTAATTGAGGTACTAAAAACTCATGAACAGACATATGCTTCCGCTTCAATCGTAAGATAATTTTACTACAAAATTGAGTATAAAGGTGGCCTACAAAAATATTCGGTCGTTTGGAATGACCTACGAACACATTCATACTGTATATACAGAAAACAAATAAACAAAAACAAAATAATAATAAAAAACGCTGCCAATTATTACACAATGATTTATTATTTGCAAGCAATCACGGGGAGAGGAGACGGGACTTTCGGACTGAAGCCCCCTCCCAAAATGGTAAAATCTAACCATTTTTTAAGGAAAAAATGATCTCTTAAAGTATTATTACGGGACCTAAAACTAAAAAATAAAAATTTTCAATTTTTTTTCATATCTAGCTCTAAATGTATTTCTCATATTAATTACTTTTCTTCTTTCTCAGCCCTACAACTCGATAAGGTCTTCATCACAATTACACATAATCTTGTTACAACTAGACGTCTTGATCTCCTCCACTAGCTTCCTAATATCAATTATTACTAAATATTAATTACTACTAATATTAATTAATACTAATATTAATATTACTACATGTGACACTAAGTTGATACATACAATACACTTTTTCCAGTCCCTCTGATGTTACAAAATATTTGTAAATATATTACCAGATTGAAAAATCAACTATTCTTATAGTTGAAGAGAAGGATGGGTGGGCTGATCGATGAAAATAAAATAGTAATAATAAATAATTGTATTTATTTTCCATTTGCGACGTTTCGGCTCAAAGATCAGGCCTTCATCAGGGCTGTTATACCAACAAGACAGAGACCGGTGTCTGTCTATGCTTATTGGTATAATAGCACTGACAAAGGACTGAACTTCGGGCTGAAACGTAGGTGAATGTAAAAATAAGTACAATTGTTTATTTTTACTATTTTAGTTTGACTGATCGCCCCAACCATCCTTCTCTTCCATTATTCACTACAGTCAACTATCAACCTACAACTATTCTTATAATTGATTTATATCAAATTTTATCTTACTATATTGTTAATATAGTAACTTAATTCTTAATTTCTTTCCAATATCTGTAGTTAATTGTATACTCTATTATACTATGTTTCTATTGTAGATAGTCTACTTATATTGTTATTCATCTTATTATTGAATAACAATATCTTGTTATTTATTTATACTTAATAACTTTTATTTTTTTTTTGTGATTTTATTTAATTCCATTTCCCGTAATTTAAATTTTTGAAATATATATGCATTATGTACCCTTAAACTAATTATATATTTTAATGGGCTTTATGAGGTTACCATTGTACGTGTAGAAATATATATATCCATTGCAGGGTTATGTAATGTGGAAAAATGTGAATACCACTAATATTCATTTAATTTATATTACTAATTATAGAGCAAACAATTTTTATACTGTACTTTGCACCCAAAGCATTAAAGTAAGTCGTATGAGTGGATCTACCAGATATTTTAACAACTTTCATTATTAATTATAAAAGACTGCAGAGAAATTAATTATAATTTTAATAAAATCACCTTTTTTCCCCTATGTGTTTATTGTCATATTGCACACCCTTTTTTTCCACCGTGTATATCTTCATATTACAAACCACATTTTTCTCAAGGATGTATTGTCATATTTCAAAACATAGTATAAATCAGTGGCTTTAGAAAGACTAACAGTTTTTATTTTCGGAAAAGCCTATTTTCTAAGGATTTCTAATATAAACTAACTTCAATGAATGTTTAAGTTGAATTATGTAAATGAAAAATCATAATGGTTTAAATTGAACCAAAAAATATATTTTTTACTTTCACTTACGTATATATGTAATATATAGTAAGGGTAAGTATTGCGGTCGAGAAAATTTTTGAATCTGAGTTTTCAACGGAAATAGACGTTTTGAGGTACCCTGAGTCAAAATGACCAAGTCCCGAAAAATGGTCTGTGTGTCTGTATGTTAGCAGTCTAGCTCATAAACGAAAAGTCCTATGAAACTGATATCACGTATTTAAGATAGGTATATGCCTTAGTTGTGACAGCAACTTTTTCCTTAAAATCGGCTAACCGGAAGTGCCACTTTATATCAACGCTGAAACACATTTTCACAATTTTCTCTAAAACAGCTCTAACGATTTTGATTAAACTCGGTGTATCATTGTATAATTAAGTGGTCTTTAATATCAATTAGGTCTTATCCCCATTGATCACTTTACAGGGCTTAAATGCCCAATGTTCATATACGTCTTCCTCTAAAGTACCTTTAATATGGTTTATTTTAAAAAGTTAAAAAAAAAAAAAAAACGTTAAAATCGGATAACTAGGAGGAAAGATATGGACTCTAGTTTTTTTCCCTGAAGAGGCAAAAATTTGGATAAATTTAAAATATACTTTTTTAATTGTTGAGACTAAAAAAACTTTTTTTCTACAGATATTTAATAAAGTATCTTTCCTAAGAACATCTTTCATAAGAAATAAGTACCTAAATTTATTCCTTTATTCTCAGTTCTATATTTCAACACTGCAATCACCACCTCCGGAATCAACTTACTCATTGTTTGAATAGATAACTTTTTCAACTAGAAGTATCACTAACATGACATCACTTAAAAATATTGAAATTGAAGTTGAGCCATTCTGAAGTTTATAAAAGCAAAGAAAGTTGTGTGGTTTGTAAAAGCAGATGGAGTGACTACATTTTTATTGCCTGTTGTCGATATATTAAATAGACATTTTGTAATTATAATAGTCTCAATAAATTGTTATTTGTAAGCTTTAAGCTTTAGCTTTGTTTAAAATGCACTTCAAAAAAATTTATAATAGTCCAGCATTGCCAGAAAATAATTTCTGTTCATAGTAAATCGGTAAGTGAAAGTTGTGTGTTGCGCGTACCAGATTTTTTTAACTTAGGGAAATTTTATAAGAAATTACTCACATATTCAAATCATTCTCAAATAAGTATCTGACGATGAATTCCAACAAAAAAATGGCATGGGATAGGATCAGTAATCCAATATGAAGAGAACAGTTAGATATTAAGAGAAACTAGAATAAATTTTTTCATCATTTCATGAATCCATTTCAACTGTTCAAAGGCAATATACTTTTTTATAATAAATAATAAATTCAACCTATGTATTTTACTTAATTATGATCACATACAAAAATGAAAACAATAATTTAATAAACATGAGATATTCATATCACAAAACACAACAATGAACAAAAATAAAAGTTCATAACTTTAAAACTATACCTATAAATTAGTATGTGCATCACAGATATCAATCAATACATGCATAGATTATATGAGAGCACTTCCGTAAAATATAAGAATTTCATGAATATTAATTCAAAAGTTTTTTGGCATCCTTGTATACACAATCAATATTATACAACACAATAGTTAAAATGATCAGTTTATAAATATAGATATATGCTCTAACTATAAATATACCTGGTATATCCAAATTAAGCATTGTTGACTTCTTTAATGAATGCCATTATAGATACAACCATAACATATTATGGGAGTAAAGTTGATGGTAATTCAATATAACCATTACTTTAAATAAAATTATCACACAATAAACAAATATTATACACTATACTAAAAAAATATTCCCAATTAAATATGACACATTGACATGGTAAGTTTAAATATTCCTTAAATATAATTAACAAAGCTTATTTACATGTAAGGTTAGGTTATACTTAATCAATATATCAAACCATTGCAGGAAATTCACGGGATAGCAAAAGGAACTATTAAATCTTCACTATGATACACTTTTAGCTCACTCAGAGCTGTTTTAATTTTGGAGGCTGCTCGCTTTATCAACAAAGCATTTTCATTTGATATTGGATTAGCATTAAAAACTTTTTCTGGTATAGGTATATCCACCAAATAACACTGAGATTTTATACCAGTCTGCCAAGATACAGGTGATAGTTTAGAATTGTAGTGACTTCTCCTTTCCAAGTATTCATTCTGTTCTATTGTGCTAGGGGCTAAAGCGGCAACATCTATCACATTTGTTGCTGTCACTTGAAGTATTTTATTGAGCACAGACTGCTCATCGGTGCTCTTGGGTGAGGAATTCGATCCCTGCACTAGCAAATCTTCATTCTGTACTGGAATTGCTGTAGAAACAGATACTGGATCATTGAGTAGGCGAGTACGTTCATCTGCAACATCCAATTCTGACTCTTCTTTGCCACAACAGCTGCTCCAGCTACAACCCATTTTTAATTAAAATGTAGACACATTAAAGTACACACTATTGGAAGATCCAAACAATTATGACGTCCTGCAGCTCAACATAACCTCGGAGGTATTGTTGCTTTGGTAACCAGCCATGAGGTTGTAATGCAAAGAGAAAAAATACTTACTACCAAGGTTTTCAGGAGAAACAAGATTACATCTAGTTCCGTTACGTCACATCTGAGAAAGTTTTTCTATTGTGTAAATGTGTTTAGACTTTCAACAAACTACGGAAAAAACAAATATATATACATGGTTATTTCACTATGCTAGTATTTTTGTTTCTTATTTTTGGTATTTTCCATCTGCTGTCGGCATTAATAGAAATAAAATAAATATTGATATGGAGATGGCTGACCGTGGATTCAATTTCAGAAGATGTTAGTCGAGGATGCGGTAAAAATATTACATAATAGTATATTTTATTACATTGTCCAACGTTCCGAGCTACGTTCCAAGTTTTCCTCAGGGCTATATAAGATACATACAATACACATTAGTTATTTGATTTTATATATAATTAATTATAAAAAGTTACAGTGTATGCAGATGACTATTGACATTCAGTTCAATTGAGAAAGGTAATGGAATATTAAGGGTAATAAGTAGTAGGTATATAAAGAATAATAATAATAAGAGTCAAAAACAAACATGCCATTCCGTCATTGTTAAAGGACGTATGGCGTCTGGTCAGGTAACAGAAGACTGACAGGAAGAGACTAGGTGGTTGTGAAAGTAATGTTAGTCGGTTGCTGAAAAAGTGCAAATGGGCGAGATAAGGAAATGTTATTGTACCTAAAGTTATTGAAGTGGTAGTTACGTGCGTTGGTCTATGTAATGGATTAAATAAATAAATTCATTTAAAGGTGTGTATATGTATATATTTATAATATATAGACAACGTTTTTTACATTCACCTTCAAAAACCCGATCTGTTTCACCGATTTCCAATTCTCTACACCTTAGCCCACACTTACAAATACTTGTTAATATCCACCTTCTTTAGATGTATTTAATAATTTAGTCCATTACACAGACCAATGCACGAAACTACCACTTCAATAACTTTATGGCTTCAGCAAAGTAGACATTTTTGAAAAATGAAACAGGTGCATAATACTTACCTTAGGTTTTCAAAATCTGTAAATTTCCATTTTGATTGCGATATTAGCCAACGAACCTTGGTACATAAGTTTTTCCTAGTAAATTCTTTTAAACGGTTTATTTTAGAAAAATAGTAAATTCAAGGTTAAAACCTAGTTGTTCCAGTAGTTGAGAAGAACATAGAATATTGAATTTACTTTCTGTCTTTATTTTTTTCTGTTTTAAAATTCAATAATTCATATGGTAGGTATTTTTTAATTTATCATGAGTTTTGTAACCGTCTGACAGATGAAATCCATCAAGTCATTCCCAACCTCATCCGAATAGCTGTTCATCGCTGCTGAACTCAATCGATTGATGGAATCCATCGATGGAATTAGCTTAAGTTAAAGAACTTACGCGTTGTTAGTCTCAGTTCGTAGTTACCATCATTACAAATGTAACGGATCGATAGAAGTTCCAGTTCCACTTGCGTTTTAGGTTCTTAACCGTTCCAGTTACGGTTCACACTACAGAACTAAACGGTTAACGGTATACAACTACTTCAATGGTGGAAATCTAATTTGTAACTAATTCAAGAGATCGGTCATCGACGTGATCTATTGGATAAACTCGAGCATTCCTTGAATCTGTATGACCGAAGTGAATGTGAACCACACTTAATCCGTGAGGAGCTCTCATAAATCAATACCATTATTTCTTTTTAAAACAATATCACTCAGCTTAAAATATACTTATAAAATGTATTATTCTTTTGCAATAAACTAATCATCCAATCTAAAAAAAAAATCTTGTAGCTGAGGCCTGATAGAACCCAAGTAACATTTTGAAATAAAAAAAGAAATGATTTTGCGTAGGTAAGTTATTATTGGGAGGTTGCAGACAGAGAAAGCATACGAATAACATTATTATCTCCTACTTATCAGTCCTTTTTCCTATTTTTTTTTACTTCTTTACTTATACTAGAGGTAAGGAAAGTATTGCGTTGTGATCAAATTTCCAATATGCGATTTTCGAAGGATTTATATATTTCAGAGATTCCTGAGTCCGAAAAACACGTTTTTAGCCATTGGTCTGTCTGTCTGCCTGTGTCAAGTTTTTCTCGGGAACTAGTGGACCAATTTTGTTGCTTCTTTTTTGATTTTGTAGGATTTCGAGTCTGAATCCGACCCCCTGAGTCCTCCTGAGGCTTTCGATTCCACTGTGCATCAGTATAAAATAAAATATAAATATTATATTTTTGTTCCTGTTTCTTTCTGATTGCTAACAGAACTAACTCGCCACCCATATATGCTTTAATATCATTTTTTAAAATTTTGTTTAAGCCAATGGAAAATAAATAAATTATATTTTTTTATTTCTTAATGACATTTACTACTGTATTACATAAATACATCTAGTAAATTTGGACGTAATAGATATAATGACATGAATACACTTGCTGAGTAACTACCCAATGGAAGCACTCTAATGACATGACTACATTAGGAGATCACGGGCCATCTTCTTTTCAGAGGCCTTGGAGGGTTATCAGGAATTGAAGAGGAAGCAAGGTTAGAAACGAGAGGGTTGGGATGATTCTGAAGTTTATTATGGAAGGATAGGTATCTGGATTGGGCCAGATCTGAAACATAAGGAACATTAAGATCTTAATGGATAATTTTATTAGTGACAAAGTAAGGAGCATTGAGGATTTTACGAATGATTTTGGATTGTAAGGATTGGATGCGAGAGGAATTCGATGGTTTAGTGGAGCCCCATAGCTCCAACTCAAGTCCAAATAGATCTTATTATAGTCAAGTATACGAGTCTTTTGTAATTAATGGGAAGTTTAGAGCGTTTGCCTAGTAAGTGCTGAAGTAATCGGAAACGTCAAGCGGTTTCTTGTCGTTTCAGTCTAGTATGAGGATTCCAAGTTAGTCGCTTGTCCAGGTGGAGTCCTAGGTATCTAATTTGCTCAACAGGGATAAGTGGAGTATTGTTAAAGGAAACAATGTAGGACAGGCAGTCGTTGGTTTACGACGAAAAATAAATTATATATATAAAAAAAAACAAGAAATTAATGAATTTATTTCTATTAGATGTGTCCACTCAAGTCTTTTTGAAAGTCTGATAATATGGACCCTACCAAACCATCCCAAAAAGGAGCAAGATAGGAACTGGGAGACTGCTCTTCGAAGCTAATAAACTAATCGGGGAAGAGCCAGTGAGCCAAGATCAAGACTAAACAGTTCAGAATAGAACTACTAAACTGTCTATGTTGGAACTTATACACTAACGACCCCCAGTTCCATAAGCTTAAGTCATCTGTAAGAGCTTCGCCAGGAGCTATTACTATCCATGTTCCTGACGGCTTCACTAGTTCTCTAGAATCTGTAACCATGATTTCACCTTACAATTTACACCTCTCCGGTCCTGAAGATATTATATTCCTACAGATGTCAATGTATAGGAGATTGGTGTCAGAGGAAAGTCGAATACAGAAAGTGTTAGAGTAAAAAACAAAGAAATGAAAATGGACTTGTCTGGTTAAAGGTTAATATTTAATTTGATGTTTAAATATAAAAATACATTTTTCTTCATTAATTATTTATTTACAAAACAGCTGATTCTTATTTCTTTTGACAATTTTATACAAATTTTAAAAATATCAGACAAGGTATAAAAATATATCATTAAAGACTTTAACCATGTAAATAGTATTATTCCTTTAATATAAAAGATAATGATTTATATATATATATTCAATATCTGATAACAACAACAAAAAAAAAAATACATATACTTAACTTTTATTTTTTATAAAATTAGTTTCTTCAATCTTAAACAATTGGAGACCAATTTTCATTCTGTACATTAAATTTATATTTAATAAAAATCACATGAGAATAATTCATTGAGACATTTATAGGGTAACTCTTCTCTTAATAGGTATATTAATGTAATTATGATATCAATCATAAAAGTTCATTTTAAACCTCAAACATTAAAAAAAAATGTTACACTGAGGATAAGTCGGCAAATAAGTAAATAAAAGATCTGATCCATTTCCCCTCCCTGATCATATAATGTTAACATTTGTTCAAGGACAAACAAGTGATACAATTTTTGTACTTATGTCATTAAGAAAATGGAGATTATACAAAGTTCTTAATTGTCATTTATTAGAAAAACACAACAGTATTTGTAATAATCTTCTTAGCTTTACCATTTTATAATTCTTTAATATATTTTATTTTTCTTATTGTATTGTTAATTTAATAGAAGTTGTTTGAAAGATCTTTGTTATAGAAAACAGCTCACTATTATAACAATAGTTTACTGTGCATCAAAAATTGTTTATTGGTGACTTTTTTTTTTTTTTTACTTAAACGATTAATTAAAGTGTATCAAAAATTTTATAATACATTCATGGTTGTATTAATATATACCTCGGAAAATTTCCAAAAGATGTTTATGACGATAAGAAATACCCAAAAATGTTTTAATTATTAAAAGAATATTCACTAGGAGAAGGGAATCCCATTTTCTTTCAGTAGCTTCAAAGTAAATACACCGTCCTTTTAAAATTAACAAGAAAATATAAATTAAAACATACACGAAAAATATCCAATGAAAATATAATTACAATAAAAATTTCAAAACTTTTAATTATAATAAAAAAATAAAAATATAGATAGACCTGTCAACATCTTTAAACTCAAACAAAGTCATAAAATGTTCTTCTATTTTTTTCCGAAAGTAATAGATCTAGTATCTTTTAATAAAATCACTGTTTTTTAAATATAAATTAATTGTAATATTAAGTGTTAGATATTATTTTAATCGTTGAAGGTCAGAATCCAACTTTTAAAATAAGCTATTAAAACAAAATATATAACTAACACCAAATGAAGATTATTCAATTTAATTTTAACAAAATAAAAAAATTATGATATATTTACTATACTTTTGCATTTATATGAAGAATATAAA